GGGGAACCGCATGCGGACACCGTCACTGAGGCCTTCGGTGGAGCTCCCTATGGGGCCAGGAAGCGTTGCACTGGGTGGGGGAAACGCATGCGGGCACCGCCATTGCGGCCTTCGGTGGAGCTCCCTACAGGGCCACGAAACTCTGTACTGCGTGGGGACACCGCATGCGGACACCGCCACTGAGGCCTTCAGTGGAGCTCCCTACGGGGCCACGAAACGCTGCACTGAGTGGGGTAACCGCATGCGGACACCGCCACTGAGGCCTTCAGTGGAGCTCTCCATGGGTCCACGAAGCGTTGCACTGGTTTGGAGAGCCACATGCGGACACCGCCACTGAGGCCTTCGGTGGAGCTCCCTACAGGGCCACGAAACAATCTACTGGGTGGGGGAACCGCATGCGGACACCGCCACTGAGGCCTTCGGTGGAGCTCCCTACGGGGCCAGGAAGCGTTGCACTGGGTGGGGGCACCGCATGCGGACACCGCCACTGAGGCGTTTGGTGGAGCCCCCATCTGCGGCCACGAAGCGCTGTACTGGGTGGGGGAACCGCATGCGGACACCGCCACTGAGGCCTCCGGTGGAGCTTCCTATGGGGCCACGAAACGTTGTAGTGGGTGCGGGAACCGCATGCGAACACAGCCACTGAGGCCTTCGGTGGAGCTCCCTATGGGGCCACGAAGCGGTGTATTGGCTGGGGGGGACGCTCGCAAACACCGCAACCGAGGCCTTCGGTGGAGCTCCTTATGCGGCCACGAAACGCTGTAGTGGGTGGGGGAGCCGCCTGTGATTATCGCCACTGAGGCCTTCGGCGGGGCGCCCTATGGGGCCACGAAACTCTGTACTGGGTGGGGACACCGCATCCCAACACAGCCACTAAGGCCTTCAGTGGAGCTGCCCACGGGGCCACGAAACGTTGCACTGGGTGGGGGAACCGCATGCGGACACCGTCACTGAGGCCTTCGGTGGAGCTCCCTACGGGGCCAGGAAGCGTTGCACTGGGTGGGGGAAACGCATGCGGGCACCGCCATTGCGGCCTTCGGTGGAGCTCCCTACAGGGCCACGAAACTCTGTACTGCGTGGGGACACCGCATGCGGACACCGCCACTGAGGCCTTCAGTGGAGCTCCCTACGGGGCCACGAAACGCTGCACTGAGTGGGGTAACCGCACGCGGACACCGCCACTGAGGCTTTCAGTGGAGCTCTCCATGGGTCCACGAAGCGTTGCACTGGTTTGGGGAGCCACATGCGGACACCGCCACTGAGGCCTTCGGTGGAGCTCCCTACAGGGCCACGAAACAATCTACTGGGTGGGGGAACCGCATGCGGACACCGCCACTGAGGCCTTCGGTGGAGCTCCCTACGGGGCCAGGAAGCGTTGCACTGGGTGGGGGCACCGCATGCGGACACCGCCACTGAGGCGTTTGGTGGAGCCCCCATATGCGGCCACGAAGCGCTGTACTGGGTGGGGGAACCGCATGCGGACACCGCCACTGAGGCCTTCGGTGGAGTTCCCTATGAAGCCATGCAACGCTGAACTGCGTTGAGAGGGGCGCATGCGAACACCACCAGTGGAGCCGTCGGTGGAGCTCCCTATTGGGCCACGGAGCGTGTGAGATGTGCGTGTGTGCCGGAATCGGATGCGGAGGGCAGGCACGGAGGGTGAGGAGAAAGGAGGGGGAGGAGGAAGGATGAGACGCGGGGCGTTGTTTTGTCATTACGCTACCGAGGAGCCCCGCATACTTATTTTATGTCACGTGTGTTCACAAACCATGTCACATCTCGCTTCGCCATCCTGACGAGGTACTGACCAGACCAGCCAGATCAGCCAGACCATCTGAACCACTGCAGTCTTCATCGCCAAACATGGAGGTGACAGCGCGTCCACGGCGATTTTGGGAGGCATGGCTGCCGCGCAGGTCGGGCGGTGCTCTGAAGTAGGACTACAGGAGCGCGCCTGCGTGAGAGCGCAGGCGCGCCGAGCCGGCTTGAGCCAAGGTGTTTACAGTTCTTGACAAGATACGAGCTCCCACACCCAGCGCAGCCCCTGTGGCGTCGAGAAAATGCCACGCCTGCCACGCCCTGGGAGCCTGCAGCGCATAGGGCCCCCACCCCCAGCGCACCCCCTGTGGCGGCGAGGAAATGCCACGCCTGCCACGCCCTGGGAGCCTGCAGCGCACAGGGCCCCCATCCCCAGCGCACCCCCTGTGGCGTCTAGGAAATGCCACTCCTGCTAGGCCCTGCGACATTGGCGCGTATAGAGACCGCGGTGGGCCCCCACCCCCAGCGCACCCCCTGTGGCGTCGAGGAAATGCCACGCCTGCTAGGCCCTGCTACATTGGCGCGTATAGGGACCGCGGTGGGCCCCCTCCCCCAACGCACCCCCATTTGGCGTCTAGGAAATGCCACTCCTGCTAGGCCCTGCGACATTGGCGCGTATAGAGACCGCGGTGGGCCCCCTCCCTCAGCGCACCCCCTGTGGCGGCGAGGAAGTGCCACGCCTGCTAGGCCCTGCGACACTGGCGCGTATAGAGACCGCGGTGGGCTCCCACCCCCAGCGCACCCCCTGTGGCGTCGAGAAAGTGCCACGCCTGCTAGGCCCTGCGACATTGGCGCGTATAGAGCCCGCAGTGGGCTCACACCCCCAGCGCACCCCCTGTGGCGTCGAGGAAATGCCACGCCTGCTTTGGCGTCGAAGGAACGCCCTGTGTGCTATGCTGTGTTGTGCTGTGCTGTGCTGCTGTGCGGTGAGCTGTGCTATGCCGTGCCGTGCTGTGCTGTGCTGTGCGGTGCTGAGTTGCGCTGAGCTGAGTTGTGCTGCACACCCGCTATGGTGCGAGAAGGAGAAGGGGAGGAGGGGAGGTGAGGAGACGCGGGTGCGCCGCGGCAGGGAAGAAAACCATAACTCCACGAAACATGTGGGGGAAAAACGAGGACCCAACACCGCAGGCTGGTTGGAAGACGCACTCCTCACGGCTATGCTTGGCCAGCAGGAGGAGCAGGGGGAGAGGGGCAGTGCCGAGAATACCCCCGCGCATTCCTCCTCCTCCTCCTCCTCCTCCTCCTCCTCCTCCTCCTCCTCCTCCTCCTCCCCCTCCTCCTCCTCCTCCTCCTCCTCCTCCTCCTCCTCATCCTCATCCTTCTCCTCTTCCTCCTCCTCCTCCTCCTTCTCCTCATCCCCCTCCTCCTCGTCTCCTCCTCCTCCTCCTCCTCCTCCTCCTCCTTCCTCCTCTTCCTCCACCACCTCCTCCTCCTCCTCCTCCTCCTCTTCCTCCTCCTCATCTTCCTCCGCCTCCTTCGCTTCCGCCTCATCAGTCCCTCCCCTTCTCTCCTAAATATCATCATTATCCTTCGCCTCCTCCTCCTCCGTCCTCTTCCCCCCTCCATGTCCTCCTCCTCCTCCTCGTCCTCCTCCTGTTCCTCCTCCCCTTCCTCCTCCTCCTCCTCCTCTTCCTCTCCTCATCTCCTCATCCTCCTCCTCCCCCTCCTCCTCCTCCTCTTCCTCCTCCTCCTCCTCCTCCTCCCCTCTCCTCCTCCTCCTCATCCTCCTCCCCTCCCCCCCCCACACCTCCTCCTCCTCCTCCTCCTCCTCCTCCTCCTCCTCCTCCTCCTCCTCCTCCTCCTCCTCCGTCCACGCCCTCCGTATCCTCAAGTTGTTCCTCATCCCTCTTTGCGCTACTCGGACATTGGTCTAGGGATCGTTGCGGCGTGCCCCCCTCTCCCCCTCTTCCCATGCTTTCTCCTCATATCGCCTCCTATCGCCTTCAACTCCGCCTGGGACGCGTCGCAGATCTGGAGACTCTGGCACATCGTTTTGAGTTCCCCCGAACGTCGGCATCAGTGTTGCAGTCTTTGTTGTTGATGTTGGAATCCGCATCCTTCTCCTTCTCCTCCTCCTCCTCCTCCTCCTCTTCCTGCCCCTCCTCCTCCCATCCGCATCCTCGTCCTCGTCCTCGTCCTCTTCCTATCTCTCCCCCATCGCCCTGGATCCCGACATCCGCACGACACACACACACACACACACACACACACACACACACACACACACACACGCAACACACCCACACAGCGCACACACACAATGCAGAGAATGAAGAAGCATGGTCTTCCCCGACTGCATTCCCCTGCCTCACACCTCATCCGTTGTGGCGTGCAGAGTTGCGTATCGGTGCACTTATTCCGTAGCCAGTGCGTGCCAGGACCCCATGAGCCAGACGTGGTTCTCCATGGGCGCTCGTGGCAGTGGCAGCGCAAACGAAACAACTTGAGTCTTCCCCTCATTTGTCGTTTCACCTTCTGCCTACTCCAACTTCCTCCTCATCCTCCGCCTCGTCCAGACGGGTAGCGGCCGGGGACAGCTATGTGGGGCCGCACTGTTTCGAGCGGGTTTCGCTTCGTCGCGGGGTGGCGCGGTTATCTTGCTGACCCTTGTCGCCCGTCTGATTGAGACAAAGCTCCAAAAGGTTCCTCGCTCACAGCGGGGTCAAGGGCCCCATCAGCCAGACGTGATTCCCAGGGCTTCTCCAGGGGCACTCGCGGCAGCGTGTGCGAAAAGGTGCGATTCTTCCATCGGGCTGTCCTCGTTTCGCTGCCGTCTCACGTACCTTGTTTCATCCGCCGTCATCCGCTTGGACCTCTTCCTGTCCCTACTTACTTCCTTCCTTCTCGTCTTCCCTCCTCATCCTCCTTCCATCCTTTTATCCTCCTTACTTCCGTCCGTCCGTCCTTCCTGCCCCTCCTCGTTCCGTCCTTCTCGTTCGATCCCCCCTCCTCCTATCCCCACCCCCTCCTGCTCATCCTCCCCCTTCCTTCCTTTCGTGGACGCTGTCCCTCCGCTCTTCCGTCTCCGCATCCTCCTCCCCCTCCTCCTCCTCCTCCTCCCTCTCCTCCTTCCTCCTCCCCCCTTCCCCCTCCTCCCCCCCTCCTCTACGTCCTCCTCCTCCCCCTCCCTCCTCCCACCTTCCCCGCGCCCCCTCTCCTGGCCCCCCACCCTCGCCGCGCAGGCCGCTGCGAACATTCAAGACACCTTCTGCGGCAAGTGCCTCCGCGCCATCGTCTCAGCGGGCGACGCTGGCGGCGAGGGCTCGGGCGAGCGCGGCAAGCTCCTGGAGGTGGTCGGCGGCACCGAGAGCTCCTGGCAGGACCCTTGGCGCGAGGGCGCGCCGCCGTCGTCGCGCTTGCGGGGAGGAGGAGGAGGAGGAGGAGGAGGCGGAGGAGGAGGAGGAGGACATGGAGGAGGAGCAGCAGCAGCATATGGAGGAGGAGGAGGAGGAGGAGGCGAGAGAGGAGTAGGAGGAGGAGGAGGAGATGGAGGAGGAGGAGGAGAAGGAGGAGGAGAAGGAGAAGGAGGAGGAATCGGAGGAGGAGGAGGAGGAAAAGTGTTTGATCTCACGTGTGGAGGCGACGTGTGGCCTGCCCGCCCGCTGCGCCGGACGCCGGCCCGCCGAGCCGCAGCTGCTGGAAAGCGGTGCAGAGCAGAGCAGGCGAGGACTGGAGGAGGGGGAGAGATGAGGGAGGAGGAGGAGGAGGAGGTAGGAGTAGGAGGAGGCGAGAGAGGAGTAGGAGGAGGAGGAGGAGGAGGAGGAGGAGGAGGAGGAGGAGGAGGGGAGGGGAGGAGGAGGAGGAGGAGGAGGAGGAGGAGGAGGAGGAGGAGGAGGAGGAGGAGGAGGAGGAGGAGGAGGAGTAGGAGGAGGTAGGAGGAGGTAGAAGGAGGTAGGAGGAGGTAGGAGGAGGAGGAGGAGGAGGAGGAGGAGGAGGAGGAGGAGGGGGGTATGGGAGAGCGCGTGCGCGCACGCTTTCCCACGTGCACTTGCGAAGACATCACTGAATCCCTGCAGCTTGACGCCGTCAAATTTGAACCATCGCGCGTGCAGTGGGTATTTCTAAGTGGTGCCTTGTTCGCTCGATGATGCCTGGTAGGACGCTTGTTTGAAGCGCCTGGCGGTACCTCCCAGATCGCGCACCCGGGGCGCTCGACTGTACCTGTTAGGACGCTTCTTTGGGATGTTGGAAAGGACGTGCCATGACGCATGCCTGGGGTGCCCGAAACCCCCGCCAGGACGTTTCCCTTGGGCGCCCGAAGGTGCGTGCCTATCAGGACGGTTGTTTGAGACGCCCGTGGGTACCTGGCAGAACGCTTCCTTGGTGCGCGCGAAGGAGCTTGCCAGGACGCTCCCCTGGGGCGCCCGAGCGTACCTGCCAGGACCCCGGGCGCCCGAAAAGAACTGCCAGGACAGTTCCTCGGGATGCCCGCTTCCGTTATGTGACAACTTTGATTTGCGAAGGCGTGCAACGAACCAGGTGCGCGTGAGACCGTACGCTAGCTTGACCTGGATAGTTTTGGGTGGGGATCCAGCAGCATGTTCCCGCAGTGTCCAACATCATTGGTCCGAAAGATACCCGTACCCGGGGCCAGCCAAGGTGAGATGGGCCGTCCGGGGGACTGGGCGCTTGCTATTGTGCCCGGTCAGCTTGCCCCGCGCGCGCCAGTGCAGCATCCGCGCGCCAAGACGCAACGGCGCGCTCGATGGTTGGGTGTCTGATTGCAGCGACAAGCGCTGGTTTTTGTGAGGGACGTCTCGGGGCATCGTGGTGCGTGCGCGGTTCAAAGCCGCCCATATGTGGCGGCGCCTGTCCCAATCGATAAAGAGCTGCATTTCCTCGCTATCCTGGCAACCAATGCATCTGGGCCTGCCCTGAGGAACGACGTTGCAATGTCGCGCCCCCAGGGGGCCGCAGCGGCCACGTCGGGGACGGCTCTGGAGGGCATGATATGTGCTCGAGATCGTTTTGGGCCTGCCGCCACCTCGGCTAGGTACGGGGACCTGCCTGAAACCACCGAAACATACCCGGACCTAGCTGGGGTGAGCTGAGGCACCCCGGCTAGGTGAGGGTATGTTTTGAGGTTTTTCATGGGGCAACCGGACCTAGTTGGGGTGATCCGCAGACGGCCGTCCAAGGGGGGCGGCCCCTGGCGACCTCGCCCACGGCACAGATTCGCGATGTCTCCGCATCGAGCAATTCGCGATAGGGCGGTTGTCGCGCAATGACGTTCGCGCCAGAGTTGTTCGCATGCGCCCCCGAGTGCGCGTTGACTCCTCAACGCCCGGATGTGTGTCTGGGGGCGCGCCTCCGCAGTAGCTGGTCTACATCGACAAGAACCAACGCAGGGTCGGGCACTCCGCCGATTCGAACGCACGTGCGATCGATGCTAACGCGCGCCCCGAGAAGACAGCGGTCTGTAATGCTCGATCGGCTGTCGTTTCTACACTTGTGCAGCCGCCGTCAGCTGCGACGAACCCCCCCCCGGCCCTTTGCCACCCTGTCTAGGTAAGGGTACGGGTATCTTTCGCGCTCGAGACAACAGGCCACCGCAGTCTGAGGCCTGTGCATCTTGAGGCCCTGTGACGTGGCCTGCTCGCGAGCGTGTGCCAACATCCACGTTGGCACGAGCCAGCGCGCCTACGCCCCATGGCTTCTGGTGCAAGATTGCGTTACTTGCGCCCCACCTAGAGACAGCGATTGATAGCGCAGTAGCAGAAGCAGGTTGCCTGGCCTGCAGCAGCGTCCTGGTAGGAGCCTGGCACGCATCCAACAAAATCTGGCGAACAGGGCGACACAAACGGATCCCATCCACGATGTCAATGACACCACGAAACATTGAGTATACGCAATTGCGCAGCAACCGTATCCGGCAGGCCACCATGTTCACAAACCCTACGACTTATTATCTCTCGATGTTCCCAGGGAGCCCCTCGTGTGCGCCCCTCTGTGTCCCTCCTCTGTACCTGATGTGGCTTAGGCGCGCTCGCCGTTCTCACTCTCTCCGTTCTTTGGGAAAAGAGCCTCGGCTGCTCCTCACGTGTGGGCTCCGCGACCTTACAAAGCCCATGATCAGATAACAGCGGTAGCGGAGCAGGATGTCCGAGGCGGTGGCGGCGGCGATGAGAATTCCCGAGGGCGGCCAGGGAGATCAGGCAGATGGTGCGCCCGAACAAGAACAACCTCAGCAGCAGCCACCAAGATCGCCGAGATCCACGGGAAGGAAGCTAGCGACGCCACCCAGAGCTTCCTCAAGCGCACAGGCAGAAGGTCGACCCTTTTGGAGCAGCTCGTGGGAGTGGACGGAATGGGGATGGGTTCCTTCGTCGTGGTCCTGGGCGGACGCCCGGAACACGACCAAGTGGCAGAGAGTCTCCGCGGACTCAAGGCCTGAGCAGGGTGGAGACCCGTGGTGGGCACGGCAGCCTACCGAGGGGCCAGATGTATCGAGGGGCAGGTGGGGCCAGACGTGGAATCATGATTCGTAAGCTCCCAAGCGAGACTTCGGAGCCCCACCGGCGTGGCCCGGGTTCGACAACTTCGAAATACATTGCCATAGCCTGAAAGCGTGGACGAGCAGAACCGGAGTTCAGGCAGAGACGCAAGTAGGAAGAGTGCTTGAAGGTCAAGTGTCGCACCATGCGCGCAGAGCTCGACGCCGAAGACGGAATCAGACGCTTGATTGACCACATGGTGCTGCTGACAGGCGAGAGACACGGGGATAAAGAGCGCTTGGCCCACAACACTGCGCTGCTTGACTGCTTGATCCGTAGAACCGAGACGCTTACCGAGTCCGTGCTAAGGAGAGACTCGCCGATTCAAGAGGCAGAACGACATTCTCTGGTGATGTTGGACGAGGTAAAGGCCAGATGCTTAGAGAAAGGGCGCAAGCCTGTCGGCCCACAACCGTATCAACTTGAATGCATTGGCCGGCGGAAAGGAAGACGGCGCGTCTATTCGAGTAGCGTTGTTGGGAATGGATGCGAAGGATCAGCGGATTCCCCCGACGAGCCAGGTGCAGACGAAGAGCTGCCCTGCGGAGGTTTAGGGACCCGCACCCCCGCCTCCAGCGCGCCCGTCGACCGAGGACGAGAGATTCATCGCGGACATGGACGACTCGGTGGAGCTTTCGGAGGAGGACGCGGACACGCTGCTGGCGACGCTCGACGAGCAGGACCTTGGTCAGCATGAGTTTCTTCGCGCGTTCGCGGACGCAGTCCAGGACCAATTAGGGAAAGATAAGAAGCGATCGTGGCAGGAGGCTCGGCGCATGAAAGTAGCGAAACAAATGATCGCGACTTCTTTGCTTTGACCGCAGGCGCGCCGCCAAACCGGGCTACGAGAGGCTCGCGATGACTGACGCTAACAGACGGGCGCGTTGCGCCAATCATTGAGACCGAGGTCATTGGGCAGAGACGGGCAAGAAACCGCATCGCTCAAAAGCTGATAACTGGCGAACGAGAAGGGAGGCGACAAAGACAGCACGAAGGACGGCTCCCGGAGCTTTTTCCTAGACGTGGCGGGAAGCGGCGACGATTTTTCCGGGATCGCGGTGCAGGAGTGGAACTTTGTGTTGGAGACGTTCTCGGTGAACGCGGGCAAGTGCGAGTTGTCGGTTCGGCGCATGGGAGAGAATGTCCTCGGCGACGCGGCCGCGTTCCAGATGCTCTTGTGGGACGAGGACTTGATCGCGATGATCCGCGCGTTCCAGCGTCTTGGCGAAGCGAGGCTTCGTCGAGGGAGCCATTGCCGGTGGCACCTTCGGACGCGCGCAGCTCGCGGCAAGGGCGTGGGTTGAGTGGGCTTCTGGAAGTGCGGAGTCGTGTCATCCTCGCTTTTGTTGGCCCTCGGGGGGGGGCTCGTCGCAGCTGCGCGTATGTCCGGGCCGCCCAGATGGGGTCGGAGGATCGCGCCGCATCGCCGACGCATCGGCGTTGCGACTCGATGCTCGGAGCCCGACTTTCTCCATACCCGCGTCGCCGACGCATCGCCGACGCGTCGCCGATGCGATCCGATCCACAGGCACCATCAGCTCCGAACCATTCGGGCGGCCCCCATTACGGCCGAGGACTTTTGATTGGCGTGTCGCGCCGCCGGTTCAGGCCCACCACGCTTCGGCGCGACGCTCTAATCGCGCCCCAGTCCTGGAACATCAGCGTTCTTAGATGTTTCCCAGTCAGGCCAGCCACAACTGGGGGAGCTGTGGTCCTTACCCCCCCAGGGGACCCATCGATTTCGACACCACTCTCGAGGGATCGTCGATGCAATGGGTTCCCCCAAGGGGGGTAAGGACCACAGCTCCCCCAGTTGTGGCTGGTCGGCCAGTCTCCCGCCCAGCGAAGCGGAGGGACAGGCTCGCAGCTGGCAGGGCACAGCGGCATGGCGCGTCGCCGGGGCCGCCGCCTTTGACAGCCCAAGCAAAAAGCTCATGACCCGAAGCTCTGCGGGCGCCAAAACAAAGACGGGAGGAGGGGGGGAGAAGCACGCCTGCGCGCGCACAGGCGGCTTCACGCGCGCAAGGGCGCACGCGGAGACAGCGGGTGACCGCGCCCTGCGCACACGTCAGAGGAGGGCAAACAGCGCGAGCGTGCAACATGCTTGACAGAGTCAGGGGCGCATATGTGTTGGTCTTGTCGCTGTGCAGGTGCACGGTTGAGCAGAGAGCGCGAGCATGTAGCATCCCTGCCGTGTGGAGGGCTGGAGGGGGACAAGGCCGCGAGGATTGGGAGGCAGAAAAGCACCCGCCGTGGGCGGAAAACACATCCGTCTCCACGGCCTCCCAGGCTGGGCCCCTCGGCTGCGACCCCGTGGATACGGTGCGTTGTTTCGCGGATCCTGGCGCGGAACGTATCGATTTGACCGCGTATCGACGAGATCGCGCCCAGAAATCCAGGCCGCGAGGGCGTGGTAATGCTTACGTTCGCCGTTCGTGATTCTGGACATTCTCCCTGAGCAGGGTTGGCTTCAACTGGGCACGCGTAGAGCCCAGGTGCGCCCTGGGTCGCTTTGCCGATGGGGGGTGAGTTGCCTGCTCTGCCCGTCCGTTTTCCTCCTTCCCCCTTCGGTCTCGCCCGCCTTTGCTGCTCTCTTGACATATGGCCTCTGGTTGCGCCTAGCTGCGCATGAACCACAGACCTTTAGTGCCACAGAGTGGAAGTTTCACCGGGGCTTCTGGAAATCTTTGGTGGGTGCTGTGCTCCTGGGCGTTTGGAACAGGGTCCTGCACTTTTTAGGGATGTCCTGCACGTTCCCCGGGGCAAGGGAAGGGCGAGGAGGCACGGGAGAGAGAGCCGATCAGCTATTGCCGGCTCTGCGGCCAGGAGGCCGCGTTCACCAAGACTTGTCGGCTTGAGGCGACCGAGAGCCATGAGAACTAGGGCCTGGACCCCTGTATCGGGTTGGGTTGGGGTGGTTTGGTAGGTAGTCACTGTAGGGCCCTCCCCCAGGACCAGCATTGTCGTCCTGAGTCGTTCTTGTCAGCGGTCCCACGGCTCAGGGAGGGCCCCGAAAGGCGAACCACGGGGCACAATCTCCAGGGCCCGCTTCCCGCAGGGCCTAGTGCTTTTTTCCATGGCGGATCTGAGCCAACATAAGATTGCGGAGGCTTGCCAGGGGGTGTGGCTATGGGCCCCCCCCTCGAGGGGAGGAGGTACAGGAAGAACGGCAGCAGAAACAGGAACGAAAACGGGAAGGCCCCGCAAACAGGCAGGATGGGCACGACCAGGAGAGGAAGGAGAAGGCGGAGTGGGAGGAGTGGGGACAGGATGGACGGATTATGGGCCGTCCCGGTAGTCTGGTGGTTGACGGCGTTCAGCGAGCATGAAACACATACCCGTGTTTTTTGCTACTACCTTGCATCCCGTATTGCATGTTGCCGCAGTATGCCGTGTGCGCCCACGTTCTGCAGAGGTGGCTCACAGTGCGAACGCAGCGATCTCGGAGCAAGCGGCGCGGTCGCGTCGACACGATGCGACCACTATGCTTGCCGCCGCTCCCTCCCAGTAGTATTATGTCGGGCGTGTCCCCCTACAGGGGGATAATCGACGAAAAATAAAACATACCCCAAAAATTCACCAAAAAGGCAAAACATATTCAAAAAATAGTCCCCAGACTATGTTTGGATTATGTTTGAGGTATTTTTTATTCTTCGTCGAAAACCACCCTGTAGGGGGAGGGGCCCGACTTAAGAGTAGCATCAGAGCGACCGCGCGGCCTTCCCAAGGAGTACATCTCCCTCGTCTGCGGCGTTCCAGCAGGGGCCTCGCCTGCGAGGTTCCATGGAGGTGACATCGCCTCCTCGGCGGAAGGCCAGCGGAAGTTGGCGGAAGCAGAATGAGTTCGTTTCCACCGGCGGAAGTGAAAATCGCCCCCCCCATGAGGTGACAATGCGTTTACGGTTCAGTGGTGCCGGAGTCGACCATATGGATCCGTAAGGTTGCGAGGGGTCTTACTGAGAGTGGGAGCATGGGGCACAGGGCTCGCCAGAATCCAAGCTACGCGCTGGTCATAGGACTCCAAACGCTGCAATTGTCTCTTGGGTCTGCGCTGCCGCGCTAGCTGGTTGCATCTGGGCCCTGCCGCCTAAGGACATCAACTACGATCAGAACGCAGAGGTGTCGACCCCACTCGTTGTTCACGCCGTGGACGGAAACAAGCAGGATTCCGTCAGGTCAATCCTCGAGTGGGCGCGGAACCATCAGGCAGGCGTTGGTTGGGAGGGCTTGCTGGCACGAAGGAGGGAGATGGTACCCTTGCCAGGCGCTCCAGTCCAACGGTAGAGCTTTATATGTCCGTGTAGCTTCTGAGATTGCAGAGCGACCAAGCATTGAGAGGGTAATTTGTCCGCCGCTCAGCGGTTCATCGAGGGCTTCACAAAGAATATTTGCCGCAATTGAAGTCGCACTGGCCCTTGCCTTTTCGCGGGCGCCAGAGGACGGCCAAAGAAGGCCCCAAGAGGCCCCGAATGGACCCTCAAGACGGTCAAAAGACGGTCCAAGGGGGCCCAGAGTGGACCATGCAGAGCCCCCCGAGAGGTAAGCATCATTGATTTTGTCTCCGCGCACGCACGTCGAATCCGTTCCAACATCTGCTGTCAAAAGATGTCAAGAGAAGGTTATTCAACTAGGTATGCAAAGTCAATGGGTTATCAAGAAGAATATGCCAGACAGCCCGGATGTCTGCGCGGGCAATTCTCCATAGTCCTCTTCAGCATAGTTGTTATCATGATCACAAGCGCAGTCGTTGATCACCCTCGTCGTCATCATCAACATACGCTTAATCACTTGCGTGGTCGTCATTATCACCACCGTCGTCATCAGCATCGTTGCCGTTGCCGTCGTCACTTCGCAACCGCCGTGACCATCATCGTCGTCGTGGCCAACGCCGTCGTCTGCACCATCACTCCAAGTACCATCGTCATCGTTATCGCCAGCGCCATGTTTGCAAAAGTACCATCGACACCATCAGCTTCGTCACCATCGTCATCGTCGTCGTCGACATCTAACCCACCGTCGTTACGAACATCATCATTGACATCGCCGATGTCGTCGCTCAGATGAGCTTTGCCAACAAGTCACGGAATGATAGGCGGGATGTTTGCACATGCGTTGAAAGTAATTACGTGCGGATGCGATCAAATGTGGTTGCACTACGTAGCGTAAACCACATATCTGGCACATGCAGAGTGCACAGACTAAATGTGTGGGGCCCGCGCTGGTGTACATACATATGTATCTATAGACTCACACATACACACATACATACATACATACGTACGTACGTACGTACGTACATACATACATACATAGTTATATGTCTACGTATATATCTATATATATATAGATATATGCATGCATCGATACACATACACACGTCTATTTGCATGTATGTATATATATACAATTTATACCTTATACACACATATCCCCGGACACGAGGCCCGGCCGCCCAGGGCCTGGGCCTCGCCAGGGCATGGCGGGACCAGGGCCCCGGGCGCCTTGCCGGGATGCCAGGAGCTTTCTCTAAGATCGCCTGAAGACGGCCCTTGATCGCCAGAAATGTTGCTTCGAGTTTGCGAAAACGACCAATAACGGCCCGATGTCACCCCAGAATTGGCCCCTGACTGACCAAGAGGCTTCCAAGACGCCCCAAGCAGACGGGCCAGTGTAGATGTCAACAGAGTGCTGCTTAGATGGGACAAAACAGACCGCTCCTCCGTGTTGCTTTGTGCCTGGCGCCAGTTGTATGGACGTGGTAGACATCGGACGGCATGGCCTCGTCCTCGGCGCGCTTCGGCCTTCTGCGGGAGCCGGCGGAACTTCAACAACGGCGGGCAAGCTCGCGGAAGCCAGCAACAGGCGGCGGAAGCGAGAGCGAGACGTCAGCATATTTGGACTATTGTGTTCTGGGGTCGGCCGTCTAGACGTGCGGGTGGGGCCCTCGAAGGGTGTCGCAGTGGCCGCCAGGGCATGGACATCAAGGATGCTCGTGTATGGTTTTTCGACGACCTGCTCAAGAACGTGGAGGGTATCTGGCTCAGATCACTTGCGCGCGTGCTGTGCAAGTGCCCACCCTGACATTGCTCGGCAAACGGTGGGACCCAAGGCCGGCGTTTCTTCTGCATCTGGCGTCGGACGAGGCATCGACGGAGAGGAAGCAGAGGGAGGAAGGGGAGGACGGGGAGAGGTAGGGGGGCAAGGATTAGGGATGGGGAAGTATGAACAGGCTGTGAAGCGAGGGGAAGGAGTGAGAGGAGACGAAGGAGGACGATGAGGGGAAGGAGGAGGAGGATTTCCACTTAGCGCTGCCCAACAGGTAACCTGAGGGGAAAGAGACGGGGAGTGATTACTCACCCATCTCTGGCATGGCCTCGGCACTAACCCCTTTGACCTTAGTGTGGAGACTACGACACAGGAGCCGCCAGCGATCCTTGTCATGTCGGCCAGTGAGCTTAGGATCGCAGGGGCGGCTCAAACGATACACTCTCCCGAGACAGGTGTAGTCGGGGGTGGACAGAACCCCCAACAGTGACACGTCGATTAGTGAATTGTCCGTTTTCGGCTTTCGAGAGGGCGCCGTGGTCGTTATTTTCCAGGCTTGCGCCCGCCAGGTTTGGGCCCGAAGTCGTTTTCACTAAACCACGTTTTACTAAAGGGAGGTCTGTCCATCCCCGATGTAGGCGTTACAGCTGACGCAGACGAAGAGCGGGGAGTGATCACTACATTGCAGGGCTAGCATGCGGTGACCTAAATTCGACATCTCTTGCACAGCTGGCGGTGGCTCCCCTCGGCATCCACCGTCGGGAGGTCGCTCTTCCGAGCGACGAAAACGAAGGCAGCACATGCATCCCCACACACCGCGGTACCATTCCCTGTGGTGGTCGAACCGAGGCCCGAGCGAAGGGGGAGGAGGTATGGGAATGGCACACGTAACTTCACTAATGTCGAGCTTCGGCCAGCTAGGTAGCACGGCGGCAGCAACTCTGCATACCGCCTTGGCCGACTTCACGATGAGATCTACCTGTGCCCACTCTCCCGCAGTGGCCTGCGGGTGTAGGGCCACTCTGTGTTTTGCCGCACTGTCGGCGGCATCACTTCCAAGCATGAGAAAGCGAGCCTCCGCCGAGAGGTCCGGAGAGTCCACAGTGTGAGCCTTGCGTTTGCGAACTTCGTGCCACTGCGGAGAGACGGTGAACACAGAACTGCCTGCATGATTCTTCCTATGCGATAAACGCACAGCTTTGGGGGAGACATGGGCCCTTACGACCCCTTCGCAATCCGCGTAGCCAAGAGTGGGCCCCACCAGGCACTGAGCAGTGGCAACGTACGCGCTGTATGCACCAGCCTGAGAGGTCTGCGGGGACGGTCTGCTGACCGCTCCCGACACCGAGGCGATGACCTCCCCGTGGGGGTCCACAGAGACAAATCCCCAGCCCGCCCTAGACAGCTCCTTCATGACATGCGTGTAGGACGAACCGTCCCAGAAAACAGCACCAGAAACGTCCAAGGGGCCCGTACTGGACCCAGGACCTCCAGCAATAAAATGAACGATGCGGCCTTCTGGACAAGGCTTCGGCAACGAGTCCCCTGGATGCGGGCAGATACCTGGGACAAAAAAAAACAGTAGTCCCCTGAGGCCTGCGGGCAGATACCTGGGAGTCCCCTGCCATTGCCCTCAGCAGTGACTCTTTGTGCTTCTACAGTGACTACTTGTCCGCGGGCAGCCTCACGCTGCTCACCGACGCTCGGGCACTGCCACGGCCTGTGCACCAAAGAATCGGGGGCAACTTGGCAAAGCTGGCACCGAGTGCTTGGAAGCTCGTAGCCGCGCTCGACGGCGCGGCCCCTTGGTCCAGGTCCCATCGCAGGCGAGCAACCGAACGCAACCTCGCTCGATCGGAGAATGCGCCGAGCGCCGTAACTCTGAGGCCAAGACATCGAAACACAACCGTCCTATCCCCAGCTTGTCTCCCACCGCCCGCTGGTGCATCCTGATCGCTCCCTCGAACAGAAGGTCAGCCACAAGAGCGTGCGAGCAAGATGTGAGCTGGATGTGGTCTCCAAAATCGTTGGCCAGTGTGTGCCACGCTGGCATGTGCCACCCGATCCGTTGTAGCGAAAGTCTCATGGCCTGCAGGGGGCCTCTAACAGGACGCCAAGTGGGGAGAGGGGTGTCATTAAAAACGGTGGCCCGCGTCCGGCTGAGAACCCCAAACGACAGAGCATGTTCAGACAGCTTCACTTGCGATCCCCAAACCTTCCTCGAAAATCTCAAAACCAGAGCAACGGCAGCCCTCCACGTCGGGTCGTTACACAGAATGAGGAGGGAGGTGAGGGAACGCTGGCCCACGGAGGGCTTGGGGGTGGAGGCGAGGGCTCTGCGACAAGAGGCGATTTCGTAGTCAGAGATACCGTGGGCATCGGCGTCGTAGTTCAGCCTTGCTGGTGACCCTGCCGTGAAAATGCGGCAGGCATGGCTCCCGAGCATGGCCTTGCAGCGTTGAAACCTCGCAAGCCGCTGTTTGAAAATCCGAAGACTGGTAGCATACCCGTTTCCCTTCCGCCCCCCCCTCCTTCCCATGCCCGCGGTCTTGTCAACGCCAAGGTTGGCGGCCGAGTCCTTCGGCGCGCCAGCCAGAGGACCGAACATAATCTTGATAAGAGCGCCATGGGAGGGAGAGGAGCACACGAGGGCAGCCTTGTCAAGCGAGATGGTGCAATACATGTCTTCCGTGATCACACAGTGGAGTTTAGGGCCGCTTCCACCGCGATGCTGACAATAGAGCACGGACGAGCCTGGACCGAAAATCCGCAATCCTCGATGTACACATCTAAACCCTTCTGCACCCGAGGGGAGAGGAGGTCAAGCGAGGGGACGAGACAGGCACGCACAACATTGGTGGCTGCCGAGCAGCCAGCGAGCACTCCTCGAGCGGCAAAACAGGGGCCTTGTACCATAGAATCGAGCGTCCAAAAGCGCGGTCCCCGGTACATGTTCAAGCAGACCAAGGCGGCGGTCCGCTCTGGGAAGCCCAGGAATTTGCAGCGGTCGTTGAGTTTGTCCAAGCAGATGGTCTCGAAGAGTTTGGCTAGATCCCAGAGCAAGCTGCAAGTCACTTGCGAATTGCATACTGCACTCTCGGAACGTAGCGCCTGGCGCCAGACGACGTCGCCAGCTCCAGCAAACGCCGAGGCTGCGAGGCAGGAGCGGTGCATACTCAACTCCCAGCTCTGGAGGACAGGCCGCCGCAGCCTTCCCCAAATCCTGCAGTGCAAAAACACATCTGGGTCTCCCTCCTGAGGGTCTTTTCAAGCAGGACGACACTCAAAACACGAATGTGCGTAGGAATCAAACCAGCGCTTTCCAGAACCGGCCATGAAGACATGAGGACGTGGAGGGAGGGCTTACCCAACGCATTGAAATGTCGCATGTGGAAACCACCCGCAGCGACTGCAGAGGCCACCTCATAAAGACGTGAAGCTTGGCCGATAGTGTCTGGCTCGCAAGGGAGGGGGTCCGAATAGGAAACGAAACCCTGCTGGCCCTTGGAAGGAACCTCCTTGGCCTTCCAGAGGTCAGAGAGACGAGCGCACTCCGTTTGCAAAAGATTCTCAGGGTCAGCCAAAATTTTGCCCTTGGAAGACACAATGTGAGTGGGGGTCCAAGCGGTGGGGGGGCGAGTCCAATCATGAGCACGCCTGCCCCTTCTTCGACGCCGTCACACAGCCACACCTTCGAACCAGCGGCAGCCTCCGCTCTGGCGGTGGCACAGTAGTTGCAGAGAGCTTCGCGAAGCGCCTCGAGGATAACTCCCCCTGCTGCCTGCCACTGGAGGTCCTGACCAGCGAAGGCGGGGCCGAAAACAATCGGAGAAACATAGTCCCTGACTCGTCGGGCCAGGTCCTGAAAGCCACTGAGGTGATCGCGGAAATCCTTGTGGGAGAACAACAGCTTGGAGATTTCTTGGGCCTGGCTCCAGCGGTCAGTGCCAGTGCAAACGATGAGGAGGCGCAAGTTGCCTTCCAGCCAGCGGGGCGCGCACAGGGCAGGCTGCCTCGGCTTGCGGCAGCGGTCCTGGGAGGGGACTGACCCCCAGGCCAACTTGGGCACCTTGCCACGGGCGCCTGAAATGGGAAGCTGGATCTGGTTAGCGCCCACAAGCTCGGCCTCCGACTGGTTGGCCCAAAAATTGTACAGCAAATTGAGATGACTGAATCGAGGACTTGGGGGCCCTGGACCGAACCAAAAACAACGCGTGCTCATTCAGCACAATCCAGGGTGTCCGCCAGCAGGCCACTCGCGGGAAAGGGCCGATGGGAAGAGGGGCGGGGATGGGGGGGGTCGAACGAACGCAAGCACCTGCAGGTCGGCAAACGCTTGTTGCAACCGGATTCGGACGGGTCGGCGCGGACGAGTGTCTGCCACCAACGGACCGACGCGCCAGCAATGTTTTTGCCGAGCCCTGGGCTACAAATAAAATAATCCAAGAGCGTAACCCCTCCAGCGAACATGCTGACAAACGAAATGACTTCCTGTGAGTACACAGTGTCGGCCGATAAGCCAGCAGCAAAATCACATTCAGCCAGCTCGGCAAAGGGCATATTCAAATCACCCCCATATCAGATAGGGGGAGGAACGAGAATTGCAAAGAGCTCCGACCTCCGAGAGTCCTTCGGAGTCCTTGAGGTAGAGGGAGCAGCCCAATATGGTGACACCGCCAGGTACCTGGACCCAGCAAGTGGTAGCTCGGCCCGGAATGAACTCTGAACCCTCGGTAACGTCACAGCAACCTAGCCAGTCTCGAACCATGATCGCCGTACCCCCAGACGCGCCCCCCTCGGGCGTGACCAGGGCAGGAGAGATTCGAGCGAGCCAGCCGTGGCGACGAGCCCGAGCGGACGCTTCTTCAATCGCAGCCTTCTTAGCTAAGTGACGCTCCTGAACTAGAATTACGTGGGCGGGGGATGTTAAAAGCTAGGGCTTCGCAGACGTCCAGCGGGAGGAGTTAATGGTTTCAAACAGTAACTCAAAATCACCAGTGCCTGGGTGGGCTGGGGCTCTGAGGACATCATGAGACTCGTGGGTACTGGAACCGCCCGACTGCAAATGCAAAAAGCTTGGCCCCTTGGCTGGCTGTAAAAAGGTATCTGAAGCATGCTGTCCTACCTCCCTAGCCCCCTGGAGTCGGTGGCCCAGGGGGGGAGGCCTTCTTTTAACTGCGGGGTCGGATCTGGCGCCGACGCGACAGCACGCCGGGCACGCTCAGGCAGCGCATCGCCCTCAGGAGTCTGGCCCTGCTCTGTCCCGTCCGCGGCCGCAGCGGCGATGCCACCGACGCCGCTCGAACTCGAGCTGGAGCCTTCTCCGCCTGGGCTGAACCGTCATTGACCTTCCGCTTCTTGTGTGATAGACGAGCCAAACCCTCTCGGTAGTCGCGCTTCGCGTCGTCGAGGGTCTTGACCAGGTCGGCGCAGAGAATGCTCGCCAACTGTTGAACGCCAGGGGGGAACCCCTTCTGCTCGGACTGAAACAATTGAATATCCCCTGAGTAAAAAACATATTCTGCCGATGGTATGCCAAGCAGCTCGTCCGCTCCCACGGTACTGATCTCAGATAGCTTGCCATCCAGGTCGGGAACGTTGATTTGCGTGGCCGTGTGGTTGGCGGGGTGAGGGGCCTGCTGCTTGCACACCGAGGGGCGGTCCTGCTCCTCCAGCTCCTTCTGGTACTTGACGACGTCGTTGTGCTTCGTCGTGACCCACTCGCGCGCCTGATCCAACTCGTCCAGCGCCTTCGTCAGCCTTCTTTCAGTGATCTTGAGCGCCTGATGAGCATCATTCGCTTGTCGCTGAAGTGGCTTAGGAGGAGCAGGACGATCCTTGGACTTGACACGTTCGAAGGCCGCCGTGTAGAGCTCAACGTTCGCCGTGTCGTTGTGATTGGTAGCGATGTCGATGAGCTGCTGGAGCTCGGACGCGGTGCAGCTGTCGAACTTCTGTGGTTGCACACCGAAGTTAAGCCGTTGGCTTCGAGCCGCTTGCTGTAGCTGATGTCCAGCACCTTGCTGTCGCTGCACCTGTTCTGGCCATACCCCTGGAGGCTGCTGCCCTGGGCCAGCCCCTCGGGGTCGCTTGCAATGCTTGCAGGCGGCCGAACGAGGGTCATGGTTCTTGCAGCGGCAGTCTGGAAAGAGACATGTCCAGCGGCCGTCGTGCCGTCGTGCTGAGCGCCGGCCCGGAGCGCCAGGGTGTCCGCCAGGATGCGAAGGGTTGCACCATGAGGGCCACTGCGGCGCGTACGGCGGGCTCGGGAGCGCCCATGCTGGGGAACTGCGCCGGGCACAGGCTTGCTCGGGGCCATCGCGCCTTCGGAAGCGAAATCGTGCCAGTCTTGGCCCGCTGGCACCTCGTGCCGCTCTGAAGTGGATGCCAACAAACACGGTGTCCTGTGCCAGAACGGCCAGGGGAAGGAGGAGGAGAACGATGACAGGAAGGTGGAGGAGGAGGAGTACGACCAAGACGTGTGGGGGAACGGGGATGAGGACGAATACATGGAGAAGGAGGGTGGGAGCAGGGGGACGAGGAGGAGGAAGGGAGGGAGATGGCGGAGGACGAGATGCAGAAGGATGTGCTGCAATCGGGGAAGAGGAGAAGGAAGAAGAGATGGAGGAGGAGGAGGAGGAGGAAGAGGAGGAGGAAGAGGAGGAGGAGGAGGAAGAGGGAGGGGAAGAGGAGGATGAAGAACAAGAGAAGCATCACAAGGCGCTCGCATTACAGTTCGTCGCATATGGAGGTTACGTGCCAGGAGTCGGTGGAGGACCTCTCGTGCAAATGCTTGCTTTCCGTATGATTCAACATTATCATTCGTATCGAAGGTTGTTCGGGTAATTTCCAGCATTGATGTGAATGCAAGTTCGGCTTTCGAAATCGAGTCGCAAGCGTTTTTGGCCCTAATACATATCGTTCGCAAGAGCTTCAGTAAGTGAGTGTACCCGCCGCGTTGTATACACGCCATAGACTAGTGGCAACCTGATCAATGGCGCTTGACCTCAAAAACAAAGAGAGGCGCAGCAGGAAACAGATGTCAGGGAGGAGGAATAACACAGAGGAGGAGGAGGAGGAGGAGGAGGAGGAGGAGGAGGAGGAAGGTAGGAGGAGGAGGAGGAGGAGGAGGAGGAAGAAGAGGAGGAGGAGGAGGAGGGTAGGAGGAGGAGGAGGAGGAAGAGGAGGAGGAGAGGAGGAGGAGAGGAGGGTAGGAGGAGGAGGAGGAGGAGGAGAGGAGGAGGAGGAGGAGGAGGATCGGAGGAGGAGTGAGGAGAGGAGAGGGAGAGTGAGACGAGGAGGGGGAGGAGAGGAGGAGGAGGAGGAGAAAGAGGGGTTAGGAGGAGGACGAGGAGGAGGTGATGGCCGCAGTGTCTTCAAAGACGAATTGCCACCAGCCTTGAGGAGGAACGGCAGCAGTAAGAGGGGAGGGAGAGGAGGAGCAGCAGCAGAGGAGGAGGAGGACGTAGGAGGAGGGAGGACGTAGGAGGAGGAGGAGCAGAAGGTGGAGAACTCGCGAGATGGAGGAAAGCGGCGAGGAGGAGGAGGAGGAGGAGGAGAAGGAGAAGGAGAAACGCAACAAAATTGGCATTAAAGCTTGCGCAACGTAGAAGAAGACGAGGAGGAGAAGGAGGATGATCGCAACAATATTGGCCTTACTGCTTGCGTAACGTAGAAGAAGAATAGGAGGAGGAGGAGGAGGAGGAGGAGGAGGAGGAGGAGGGGGGTAAAGACGCGGCAGCGATGGGGCGAAGAAGCACAGGGCGGAGAAGTTGGAGAGAGATGGTAAAAGGCAGGGTGGGGCGGGCGGGGAGGCGGAGCAGCAGGCAGGGCGGAACGGCCCGCCCGGCGAGCCGAGGCTTCCGCGGCTCCGGGTTCAACGCCCGGCAGGTCTCGTGCAAGTCAAGGGGGCCGGTGGCGGGAGAAAAACGCGCTGCAATTTTCTCCTCGTCCTCCTCCTCCTCTTCATCCTCCTCTTTGCCCTCCCCCTCGCCCTGCTCCCGCTATAATATATATATATATATATATAATATATATATATATATATATATTTATTATATATATATATATATATATATAGATGTTTCTTCTTTCTCTCCTCCTTCCTCCTCTCCTCTCCTCCTCCTCCTCCTCTCCTCCTCCTCCTCTCCTCTCCTCCTCCTCTCTCCTCCTCCTCCCCTTCCCCCTCCCCCGCGCCGCGCGCGGGTCTCCCGCGGCCGGAGCGCTGCAATTGGGAGCCGGCGCAACCCCCCCACCCCAGGTGCGGCCCACCGCTCGGCAGCGAGCCGCCCCCGAGGAGGAAGGGGTGCGCCGGCCGGGGCCTATAGTTGGCGTACCCGGGACCACGTAGGCGAGCGCCTCGCCCTCGTGGCCGCCTGGCCTGCGGCCTGGGCCCTGCGGTCCCACCGCCAGGCGCCGCGGTCCCACCGCCAGTCGCCGCGGTCCCACCGCCAGGCGCCAGTCCTCCTCCTCATCCTCCCCCTCTCCTCATCCTCCTCTCCTCCCCCTCCTCCTCCTCTCCTCCTACCTCCTCCTCTCCTCCTCAATCTTCATCATTCATTATCATCATCATCATCATTCATCATCATCATCATCATCATCATCATCATCATCATCATCATCATCATCATCATCATCATCATCATCATCATCATCATCATCATCATCATCATCATCATCATGATCATCATCCTCATCATCATCATCATCATCATCATCATCATCATCATCATCATCATCATCATCATCATCATCATCATCATCCTCCTCATCCTCATCCTCCTGCTGCTCCTCCTCCTCCTTCTCCTTCTCATCCTCATCCTCATCCTCCTCTTCCCCCCCATCCCTCCATGCCTTCCTGTCATAACCGCGACACCCGCACCGATCCCTCTTTAGGATAGGTGGCCACCGGGATCATCGCCAACAGGGGCTTTGCAGTCCACCCCGCCCCAGAAAGTGCGGATTCGCTTTCGGGGGCTTGTCGCCGATCAATCGGCGATGTATTGTTGATTCCAACTCGAGGCTTCCCCCGTTAGCCAGTCCCCCCCTATCGATGCTCCTCAGGAGGGTGTAGCGAGGAGGGGGCATTGGATCACTGGACGTAGCGTGGGTGTCGTGCCCAGGGCCATCAGGGTCTGCTGCCACGGGTGACGCCCATCGAACGGCAAAAGATGCCATACACATAAACGATCATCAATGTTCGGAGGTCCGCGCGGATTTGTTGGATCTGCGCTGGACCCACTCGGCATCCCCGGCAGCGTAGCCCTTGGCGAGCTTCGCGCGCCAGGGAAGGGGGGGGTCAAGCGCGATTCGATTCGACTCCGACTCCGTACCTATGCGGCCCGAGATGACTCAGCAGGGGAAAAAAACACAGACACAATAGACACAATTAATCGTCGATTCCGAACGAAATATGCGAACATATGGGAAAATATGGGAAGTGGGGGAAGACAAAAACCCATAAAATATTTGAAAAGATTGGGAATAGTCTTATTTGTGTGTATTTATGTGGTGTCCTGGGGCCCCATACAATGATGCTTCGATTCGACTCCGATTCCGTACCAATGCGGCCCGAGATGGTGCACGCTCCGATCCGAGTTCGCTCTTATCGATCCGACGGTGAGCGCTCCTGCCAGGCATCCCCAGGGCTTCGCGGGAGGCGCAGGTGGCCTCCAGAGGACCCACCACAGAGCTCAGAGGGTCCTCCTCCTCCTCCCCCTCCTCCTCCTCCTCCTCCTCCTCCTCCTCCTCCTCTCCTCCCTCCTCTCCCCCTCCTCCTCCCTCCCTCCTCCTCCTCCTCCTCCTCCTTCTCCTCCTCCTCCTCCTCCTCCTCCTCCTCCTCCTCGTCCTCGTCCTCATCCTCCTCATCTTCCCCAGGCAGGGAGCAAGACTGCGCAAGCATCAACGTGCGAGGGTCTGCGCGGATCTCGTGGGTCGGCGCTCGACTCCTTGGCGTGCGAAGCGCGCCAGGGGCTGCGTTGCAGGCGCCGCCAGGGTGGTCCCACGCCCATCCAAGTCCGAACATCCTCTACTCCTCTTCCTCCTTTTCCCCTCCTTCCTCTCCTCCGACTCCTGCTCATCTCTCCCCTTCTCGTTATCCTTCGTCTTTCCCCAACCGTTGATGGCGTATCATTCTCACGGTCTGAGGTGTGTTTGCTTTTGTTCACGCACCATTTCTGCGTTCCAGTGGCCCCGTTCCTGGAGGCGGATCCAGCGCTGATCCCAAGAAACCCGCGCGGACCTCCGAAAGCTCAGGCCTGTGCAGCGTTGTGCTCCTCCTTCCCAGGGGCTCCAGAATGTGCTCGAGAAGCTGAGGACACCCTGGGCCAGGAACGCTTGTGCAAGACCCCTCCGAGGTGGAGCAGTGGGTGTCCTGGGACGGCAAAATCGGTGGCTGTGGGGCGGTGCCTTGGCCGTTGCGGAGCGCGCCAACTCGTCGGCTGCTCAGAAGGAGGAGTAGGAGGAGGAGAAGGAGGAGGAGGAGGAAGAGGAGGAGGACAAGGAAGAGGGAGATGAGGAAGGGGTAGGGGACCGCGTGGCATTTGCGCCCGTTGCCCACACCTCAGTTATCTTGAGAACGGCAGGGCCAGGCTGGCCTTGCTGTGGAACGTGCTAATGAACGCATCGCTGGTCCGGAAGCCTCG